CTACGGTGAGAGCGGGCCAGCAGGGACAGCAGCACAGTCCTGGGTTCTGACCCGGGAGATGGTCAGTCTGAGAAAGAAACCCTGGAAAGAGAGGGTGTGGAGGACTGTCGTCAGGAGGGTCCCTTGGCTTCTTCCCCTCTTCATCAGAATTCCTTCTTTAGGCCTCAGTTTGACACTGTGCCAGGTGCTATATAAACAGCCATGGTCCCTGCCCTTAAGGAATGTCCAACCCAAGACACAGACACACGGACATTTTGTTGATTTTATTTTAAATAGTAATGTACTCCCCACCTTGCTCCAGGGAGTTCACACAGCTCAGGAGAAATGCATCCAATAAATCCATAAGATGCGATTTTAAAAGAAGGTTTTAGGGCCACAGGAAACAGGGCCGGCTAGAGGGTCGCAAGCGCCAGCTAAGTCAAGCTGAAGAGTGGCCTTGATCTCTCAGCAGTGGAAGGGAAGGGCCACCACGGCCACAGACAGGCTCTGGTGCAGAAGACGTATTCCAGGCCTCGGGAGCAGAACTTTTGTTAGTGCTCAGTTCTAAGTGAAAAAATCCACCTTGACCCTGGTGGAGGGGACTAGGCGCACCTGATCCCTCAAATCCCCAAACTGGCCATTCCCCAAGGCCATCCTGTGCAGTGTTCAGCAGGCAGAGCCCTGTGGTCACTCTCCAGGTTTGTCCAAGTGACAGCATTAAAATCCAGAATGTCCTGAGCAAAGAAGGACTTTGTGTCCTCCGACCTTGCCTTCCACACGGGGACTCCTTGGTCCAGTGGGTTGGCTTGTTTGAGACAAGATCTCACTAAGTTGCTAAGGCTGGCCTTGAACTCACAATCCTACGTTTCAGCCTCCTGAGTTGCTGGGATTACAGATGTGCACCACTGCGCCTGGCTTTCCAGTGGGTTTTGGACCACAGATTTGGCACCTGGCCATGACCAGAATCTCAGAGGAAATACTAGTAGCTGAGGTCAAGGTGACAAGTCTGGTCTGGCTCAGGGTGAGGACAGTCCCTGCATATGGGAGGTGGGAGACATGGCAAGACTATTCTGCAGACCCTCAATGAGGGAGTCGTCCCTTCCCTGTCCATGTGCCCCTTACCAACTCTGTCACAGAGACAAAGAGAGCAGAAGCCACAGTCTCTATCCCGATAGCAAAGGGGAGGCAAAAGCCCATCTGGGTCCGATCTCCCTGTGGGTCCTGGTGAGTTGTCTTTCAAAGCAAAGGTCGAGCCATCACAGAACCAGACGAAGGGATGGGAGAGTCAGGATGTCACTGTTGGGGTGCCAGACGGAGTCCAGGTCCTTGGTGTCCCCGAGCAAAGCATTGAGCAAGACACACAGAAGGAACAGATGAAGTACAGACGTATTAAAGGTGAAGGTGGCACTCCGTTAGGTAGGCCAGAGGGGGCAAGCAAGAAGGAGGCTCGAGACCCCAGTCTCTGGAATTAGGATCTTATATATCTTAAACCACGAGGCATGCTCCTCCTATGTGGACCTGATTGAAGACCTTACCCCATCGTCTTCCATTGGTTATCTTACAATACCTGATTAGAATATTTTCCAATTTTCTCTCCATTGGTTATTTTAGAAAACCTAATTAGAATAGTGTCCACTTTACCCCCATTGGTCATTTTAAAATTTGAACCTGGGGTGGAAGTTGTCACGATGATAAGTGCTCCAGTGGCGGGGAGCTGTCCTGGGGATGTTCTCGGGGGCAGAAGTTGTCATGGTAATGGGAATTATTGTAAACAGGGACAGGACTCCTTGTCTCTTCGTCTTGTCCCCCAGTGGCTTCTTTCTTAGGCCCTGTCCCTGCCATCTTGGTGTCCCTGAACTCCTACCTAACAAGCAGAGGAAGGTTCTGGGGAGAAGACACCAAGTCCAGTCCTAGGGGTAATGAGCAACAACACCTGTGCATACTCACACCTGACGGAAGGATTCACGGAGACCCAAGACTTGCCCACAGAGCTCGAGGCCCAAACCTCAGGATAGAGATCAGGGCTGAAGGCTCCGACTTGGACACCACTCCTCCATGAGCTGTCCCAGAAGCCCTGAAGTGGCTGGGTAAGACCTCCTGTGTGGAAACACTGGATTTAGGGGAGGGAGGAGGAAAAGGACGGTGGGAAAGGCAGAAAAAGAACATTCAGAGAATCCCAGGAGGAAGGGAGAGCAGGGGTGCTAGAGGCCCAGAGAGGGTGAAGATGGGAGATGTGCATCCTCCAACTCTGACGCCAGACCCTGAAGCAGCCTCGAGGAAGCCAGGGACACCAATCCCCAGGTCCTGAAGGTTAGGCTCTTCTAGAAGCAGAGAACAAAATAGAGAGAGGAGAGAGGGGAAGGGAATACCTGGAGGAGGAGGTCAAGGTAGGCTTCCTGGAGGAAGTGGCGAGTGGATAGCAGTCCGGTTTCCTCCCCATCATCCATTCCTCCCAACCTGTCCTTTGGCCATCAGAACTTCTCCACAGCTGGTGCCAGTCCCTGTCCCACCATCTCCCCCCACCCAGGGGACCTTGATCTTAGCACAGGCTCATTGTGCAAGGCAGGCAGCATCTCAAGGAGGCTGTATTTCTGGACTTGAACTTGAAATGTCCAGGGTGTAGGTCGTCTCTATCTGCTAGATTTGCACCAAGAGGAGGGATGTTGGGAGCTACTGAGGCCATCTTGCTACAATGGGGGTTGCTTCTGCCCTCAAGGCCTGAGAGATACAGCCCCCGAAGAAGGAGAGAGAAATGGGGTGCTGGTTCTATGCGCAGCCTGGATTCAACCTCCCCGGGGCATGCATGGTCCAGTCACAGGAGCCAATGGACGTCCCTTTCTGAGCAAGAGCCACTCCTGGAAACCTCCTGAGGGAAAGCCCAGGGCAGAGGCTCAGCTTGGAACAGAGTGGTGTGTCCTAGGGCAAGACCTAGGCTGGAGCCCAGAGAAGGCGGGGTGGGTGACCAGGGGAGTCTGGCGGGGAGGGGTGGTAATAGCTAACCTGCCAGGCTCTCCTCCGGGCCAGGCATTGTTCCCAGGTGTTTACATGCGTGACCTCACTCAGTCCCTCCAGGCTCCGGTGAGGTAGATGGTGGCATTGTCCCCATTTTATAGAAAAGCAAACCAGAGCATGAGAGGCCAGGAAACCGGCCCGTGGTCACCCAGAACACGCTCAGCAGGACGCAACCCCAGGCAGCTGACTCCAGGGATCCACCACCCAGGCCAGGTCATCCAGGCCTCGGGCAGGGTGGGGCAGGCCTTGTGGCTGATAGGGACAAGGGCTACTAGGAGGTGAGGAGGGAGGAAGGCTCAGAAGACATCGAATCTGAAGGTCATCAGTGGTCCCTGGGGTGGCCTTGCAGAGAGGGGTGGGGTGGAAGCTGGTCTGTAGGTGTGAGTGACAGTCACTGGGAACAGGAATCAGTGAGAGAGGACGGCTGGCGAGGACCAGCACCTGGGGCGTGAGGTCATCACAAATGAGGAGAGCAGGAAGCAGCCGACTCTGACTCAGGGTCTTGGTATTTTTCCTTGTGTTGGTGACACTTGGTGTTTGTGAGGCGAGATGAGGAGAGGTAGACAGCACGGCGGGCCAAGGAGCCCCGTGGAGCCCTGAGGACAGGGCAGGGGTCAGTGCAGCCTCATGGGGAGGCCAGGTACAGCATGCAGACAGTACCTCTTCCTCCTGGGGAGAAGGGAAGAGGAGGCGACCAGGCGGGGGTGTACACAGGAACCCAGGAAAACCCAAGCCTTGGCGGTGGTAGGGAGAGAGCGGCCACGCAGGAACTGCAAACACGCACTCGGGTAAGGTGGGAGGGCGAGGACAAGGAAGGACCAGCTGAGAGGTGCAGCCAGATTGTCCTTGACCCCAGACCGTTGTCTCCACTTTTTCCTTTTTAATTTTTAAAAAACTTGACACACTTTTAGATTTGCTTGAGAGTTTCACATAGTCCTGACCCCATCAGACCCCACCCATGGCTTTGCTTGATTTCATCTTAAAGCAAAGCTCCTAAGCCACGAGCCGTCACTCATCTGAGCCCCTGAGCAGCTCCCCGCCCCCGCCCCGCCTTCCTTGGTCGTACTGGACATCCTTGTCCGTTGGACTAGTGCCCCTGCCAACCCTGCTTCCTTTAGCTTCTCACCCTGACCCTCCAACCCTCCCCTGGCGTCCCTGCACAGCCCCCTCTTTCCTTCTGCTGGGGACTCTGAGGAGTGGCCTGGGCCTCGGGCCACGGCCATCTTGACTCTTCTTTGGTGCTGTGAACCACAGCTTCCACAGCCCACGAGCTGAGCAGCCATCAGGCCGCCAGGAGCAGGTTACAAGGGGTGTTAGCCTGGGTCACAGCGGTCCCGGCCCCAGAGGCTCAGCTTCCATAGAGGGTACAGGAAGAACTGGAGCCCAGTTCAACCCCCTGACCAGCCTGGGCTCATCACCGTGAACCTGGGATGAGGCTCTTCTGCCAAGGGAAGGAGCTGACTTTAGAAAGGGAAAGCAGGAGGGTAGGGTGGAGCCAGGGTCGGATGGGGGCCTGTGGAGCCTGGGTCTGCTCCACTCCTGGGACTGGGAACTGGGGTCACTCTGCTTTCACTCTCCTGGGTAACCAGGAGCCTCCCTGGAAGGCCCCAGGCTGCACAAACTTCCTCCTCTCGGGCTGCAGAAATCCATCCCCATTCCAACCCTTTGCTTGGAAGAGCCCACCTCTTGGCCCCTGTGAGCTTGGGGAGTGGAAGGTTCTGGTTATGAAGATGGCCCAGGGGCCACAGACTAACTTCCTGCCCCTGCTGACCACAGCTGTGGCTGGGCCCCTGAGCAGCCTGGAGCTAGGAAGATGCAAGCCCGCCCCCCAGTGGCGGTATGTTACAACTGCATCCCCACCCGGCCTCCACCTGTCCACACAGACCCAGTCCTATGGACCCCGTGAGGCCAGCAGCCAGTCACCCCGTCCTGAAGGCTTCCCTTGCCCAGGTAAAAGGGAGGTGCAGGTTCTACATGAGCAAAGAAGAATCGGAGCAAAGCACCACACGTGCAGACTGACCTCCACCTTTTATTCTGGTGTCAGAAATGAAGACACATGTTCAATGAGGTCAAAAAGCCACCCCAGCTCCCTCAGCCTGAGAATACCAGGCCTGGACAAGTCAGGTCCACCTGATGCCGCGTTTCCACCTTAGTAAAAGTGACACTGGGCTCTCGGGTGGCTGTTAACTGCTACTATGCCTCAGTGACCTAAGTAGCTTTGAAGGCATGTACCCATTCCCCTGAGCAGAAGACTGAGCCGGAACCCCGGGGGAAAGGCAGGACTGTGGCTTTTCTATCAAGCTTCTCCAGCAAGATAGAATCTGTCTATACTGATGGCTGGGAGCCAGCGGGCAGAATTGTCAACTCAAGGGGTCAGGGGCATGTTTAACTCATTTTTGGATCTCCTAGTACTGGCCTATATTGAGTGTCCAATGGTATCTGTGAAATGGACAGAAATGAAGGAATGGATAGAAATGATTCTTAGGGCCCCTCAACTTTGGAAAACCATAACTATGGTCCCATCATACACGGGAATGCCACACACACACACACACACACACACACACACACACACGGCTTCGGCCCCCACCCTGCAGGTGGCCCTGATGCCCGCCCCCTTCTGCACACACTCATGCACGCTTCCTTCATGATGGCCTGTACTTATTGCACACCCAACGGGTGCCCCAGGCCCTGACAGAGACCCCATGTGGCCCCACTTTATGGAGCCCCAGGCCCAGGGCTGGTGACGAGCCTCGCCAGGAGGGAGGAGTGTGGCTCAGCAGGAAGGCGGGAGTGCCAGTGCGTCATGCAGGTGGCGGCAGGCAGCCTACTCACGCTTGGCTGGACAGAGACAATGGAGGCTGCCCCTCCAGCCAGCTCCTTCCCACAGGCTAAGCCCAAGTCCCCAAGTCTCCCGGAACCTCCCCTAGAGAACAGCCCCAGCTGGGAGGCTGCCAGGGCCGGCAAGGGGCTTTCCCAGGGGAGGGTAGCAAGGCCCCAGGGCACTGGCTGGGCGCCGACGGGGGGTCCTGGCAGCCATCAGGAATGCAGCTTTTAGGGGTGCATAGGATCAGGTGCAGGGAGGAACCTCCAAGATGGCCAAGGACCCCAGACTCCAGCCTCCCTCCCCCACCCCTCCTCAGCTGAGCCTCAAGGGGACTGTCACCACTTCCCCCTCTACTGAACCTGAAGAACCCTCTTCCCTGCGCTGGGGAGACAAAGGTCCCTTGTCCCCAGCACTCCAGGGCTCTTGGCAGAACTCTGAGGCCCTGCCCCACTCAGGTCTTCAGAGGCTCCACTGGTCATCAAGTGGACAGGAAGCTCTCATGTGTCCCCGTGTATGGGTGATTATAATGGGAAGAGGAGCCACAGGAGACAGAGGCCTTACAGCCTCCCTGGGTGCTTGACACCTGTCCAGGTCCCTGCCAGAAGGGTGTCCCTTGGCGGGCAGGGCCTGAGTAACCTGAGTCATGAGCTGTGAGCTGAAGTCTCCCAAAAGTCCTTGCTCTGTTCTTCTGGGGCCTCCCCTAGCAGGTCCCTGTCCTCAGGGCTGTGGCTCCCTGGCTGGATGGCCCCAAGCTCACTCCCAGAAACCCAGGCCCATGTGCACAGGATACGAAATGTCCTGGATTCTGGGGATGGAGGTGGGATAGGTCCCTGGGATTGGAGCCCAGGCCCCACCTGACCTTCCTCTTCCCTGAGAGTGGTCAGGAGCAGGGACAGCAGAGGGCCTGGGTGGGGGGGGGGGGGGGGAGCAGGCAGGCGGCGCCAGGGAAGGACCACGGGGAAGAGCTTGGTCCTCCAGCAGAGGGTGGGCAGGCCTATCCCTCACCAAGAACCCAGAGAAATAAAGATCCTCCGTGGGTTCATTTCAGGTCCACCTGGATCAGGGCCAGTGTCAGAAGTGGCACCAACTTCACAGCTGATTGCGGGTCCGCTTGGGGATGATCTTCCGGTAGGTTCTGCGCTCTGAGATGTTGCGCTTCACCTTGGCCGTGGTGGGGGCCTCTTCCTGGTGCAGAGACGGGCTGGAGTGGGATTTCTTCAGGCTGGGCTTTGGCTCCCGCAGGCCTGCAGCTTCCCTCCCCAGCTGCTCTTCCCACAGGGCCAGGTCCCCGGAGGGACAGCGCAGCCGTGCCACCAGCAGCTGCACGTATGTCTCGTAGCGGGTTTTCTGCAACACAGAGGCACTGTGTCTTAGGCTGGGGGAGGCTGGATTCATAAGGGGCAACTCATGCTTGGGTGCACGAAGTAATGGTGACAGAGACCTCTGCAGAAAGAAGACGGCACCAACAGGGAGTGCACGTGCCTGAGCAGCCAGGCCAGAGCCCGCCTCTGACCTCAGCCAGTCCTGTTACAACCACTGGGGTCGTAGGGCTGCGACTGCCGTCCCCAGACCACGTTGAGCTCCGTGTCCCACTGTGCACAGGGTCTGTTAGCATACACGCACCCTCACATCTGGATGGAGCCCTCATGGCATCTGAACAGTGTTGTAGCAGCTGGCATCTGCGAGCTTGATGCCATCTACCCTGCCCTCGTCTGCGTCACAGGCAGTAAGCAGCACCCTTGGGCTCCCATTCCCGGTTTGCAAGGCCCTTTCCTACCCCTCCATCCCACGGGCTCCTCAGCCGTGCCCTGGGAGGCTAGACAGTGTCTCTGGTTTAGAAAAGGAGGACCTAAGGCCAAATGAGGGCTGACGGTCCCAGCAGGGCAGTAGTGGGAGGGGTTGGGTCCTTTCAGCCACACCCTGAGACCTCTGGGAAATGGGGTGCTCACAGCCAGGGGGGCGACCTAAATCAAACGGCTGACAGGGACCTTGAAAGCAGGCCAGGGAGGGAGCAGGCTGCATGGGTTCCTGCCGGGCACAGGCAGGACTTCCTTATCGCTCACACTGCGCCTGGCTTTCCCTGGCTGCCCACAACCTCAGCAGGACCGCCAGGACCTTGGACGAGGACACTCAGCATCAGGGTCCCAGAATGTGCACTGATGTGAGGCCAAAGAAGAACTGGGGTGTGTGGGGGGGTCAGACTAGGTGCAAATACATCTTGGAATCCGTCACAGGGCAGAGGAAGGCCTTGCCTGAGCTAGGACCATAGGGGAGTGACTGGAGCGACAGGTGAACTTATCAGTTGCGTAGACTGTTAGCTCCCTATGCCTCGGTCTCCTGGTCTATAAAATGAGGATGCAAGTACCCAGCCCAGAGGCGTTAGATAATCACAAGAAGTAATTCGTGAGAGAAATACAAGTCCACATACACTACCTGTTATTATTAGGTAGGTACTGGGGAAATAATTCTGCTATAATAAAATTTGTCTTTCAACTTGGAAAAAAGCCAAATAAGCCCAGGAAGGAATATATATATATATATAAAGAGACCTCCATCAGTTTTCAGACAGCATTGCTGTGCACCTCCAGGATGAGAGGTGAAGGGCCTGAGTGCACACAGACATACATTGTACACTCGTGCACATCTGTGTGCGCATCAGCACACCCCGGGCCTCCAAGCTGCTGGAGCGACGGCTGCAGGGACAGAGGCAGCCAGGAGGGGGCAGCAGAGCCTCACCTCGTACTCCAGGTACTCCTTCCGCAGGCGGTACTCCTCCAGCTCCCGGCTGCGGCCCCGCCGCTCAGGTAAGTTCCTCTGCAGATCTAGCAGGTCGTCAGAAGCCGCATCCAGGCAGTTCTCGTGGGATCGATGCTGCTCCTCCTAGGAGCAGGAGGCGGTGTAGAAGTTGTACATGGTAGTGGGCAGTAACACCACCGGAGGCACAGGTGTGCAGCCCCGCCCGCCCTCTGCACCCCAGCAGGTAGGGAGCCTACCAAGGAGCTCTGAGCAGGGCCCATAGGCAGGATGGGTCTCACAAATCGTCGCTGGGAGCCCACTGCAGCGGGGAAGGGCGGCGCCGAGTGCGTCGCTGCAGCCAGGTTGATGCGTGCGATCCAGGAGGTCATCTCCTTGGCAGTGCTGCAGGAGAGAAGCTCGTGGTCCCAGGGTCCCCCCGTCACCTGCTCCCCATCCCACACCTTCCGTGATCTACACAGCCTTCCATCCACTCAGAACTACCTCCCCAAACCAGCAGCCCTTCACTACTGGGCAGTTGCCCTCTGCCTGAGGTTTTTAATTATCAAAGAGGAAACTCCAGAGCTGCCTGGAGCTGCCTGTAATCCCAGACGCTTGGGAGGCTGAGGCAGGAGGACCAATCCTTGGAGGCCAGCCACAGCAACTTAGTGATCCTGTCTCCAAATAAGTTACAAGGGAGTTACAAGCACTGGTATGGTGCTTGCCTAGCATGCCCAAACCCTGGGTTCAATCCCCAGAAAGGCCGGAGGATCCAACAGATGTTATTTTAAATGTCAAAAATTGAGTGACCTCCTGGAATCCTATACCCAATACTGGGAGGCTTGACCTGGAATTAGAAGGAAACCGTGGATGCCTCAAGGAAGTTGGCCACACCTGGCTTCATCTCTGCATCCCCAGTATCTCTGGGGCCACGGCACTCTAAAGTTTCCTGGCCAGGAGGGTTGGGCCAGCAGGCATCAGAAGGGTCAGGCGGACAGGAGAGAGGCGAATTAGGGGCCCCGAGGCCTGGCCACTTTCCTCCCACCCTAGGGACTTACGGTGCCTGGAAGAGGAAGAGGCGCCAGTCAGCCGTCCGCAGCTGGAAGACGTGGGGCCTCTTGGTGTAATGGGTGGCGGGCGAGGCCAGAGAGTGGTGCACCCCCACAGGCTCGTCCACCATGTGCCCCACCAAGCTGTCCCCTTCCAGGCAGTGGTCCTCTCCCTGCCAGCAGGCACAGGGCTCAGAGACGGGTTTAGCCTCAGCTGCCCGCTCCAACAGCTGACCTCCCCGTACAGCCCCACCGCATCTGCCCATCAGGGTGCCGACTCCTTCCTACCTTCAGGAAGTAGAGGACCATTCCCCGCAGCAGAGTGTGGAACATCTTCCAGCCTCGCTTGCCCCACGGCGCTGTCCCAGACCAGACACAAAGGCAAGTGGCACGCCCGCACCCAGACACAGTGTGGGCAGGTCACCCTGCCCTCACCCTGCGTCCCTCCCCACCAGGATGCACATAAGCGCACAGAGAGCCATCACCAGGAAACTCAAGGGCACCTCCTGGGTCTCCAGCCCAGTCCTGCTCCACCCAGCACCAGAGAACTATTTGCATACCAATGTGGGTATTTCTTCAGACCCTCTCTCGCCCTCACATCCCCCAAACCCCAGGCACAAACACAGCCCTGCCCAAACAGTTCCACTCAGACACCTTCCTGCAAGACACCCAACCTCCCCTCCCGGGTCCTGCGTGATGAGGAGCCACCTCCCTGGGGCCCTGCTCAGTCTGCTTTTGAATGTCACACTGGAATCTGCAATTCCAGAGGAGTCCATGGCGATGGCCAGGCTACTGTCTTGGGCTGCTTGGGGCATGAGCCTTGCCCCAGTGCGTCCTCCAGGTAGAGTGACTCTGCCTGCTCTGTCCTCTGTGGGCGCATCCCCTGACCAACTGCAGAACTCCAGCTCCTCTTGCCCCCCAAGTTCCACTCAGGTCCACCAGTCACCTGCCCATTCCCCACATGCAGTCCCCAGAACAAAAACGAAACCCTTTGTTCCTCCATCTCTGAGCTCAGTCCAGCCCTCCCACCTTCACCCCGCTCACTGACTTTCTTGCCTGATCTCTCCCCTACCACAGGGCCAGGGCCCAGGAATAACTAGACGCCCCCTTTCCCCTTCCCCAGCACCCAGGTCATGGTCATGTTCGGGAGGAAACAGCACTCGCTGCCTGTCCTCAGCAGGGCATCTCGCACACCGCACACACAGGGTGGCCCCTGGGCAGCGCTTCCCCTCTAGCCCTGCTCATGGGCAGGAGACACTCACTCTTCTTGCCATCCGCATCCTGATGCATCTTCCGAGCCAGGATGCCCTGCTTGTAGGTGGGCGCCATGGGATCCTGAGCCAGCTGGAGGAAGGGGCTGCCCGTCTTGCCAGGCGGGGATGGCAGGGCCTTCTCGGGTCTGGCTGTGTCTTCCTCATCCCTGGATGTCAGAGAACCAGGCTGGGAGTGCTGAGTGGGCAAAGACCACCAGGAAGTTCCCACTGCCCCCCGGGGCCTCAGCACACTCTCTTTTGCTGGGGAGGTACATGGGATCCTCGTTCAGAGCCAACCATCAATTCCTGGGAATAGCCCCGTGGCCAGCCCTTACTACCTCGGGCTTCTCTGAGATCGGCTGGCCAGCACTCTGCCTCTGGCTCCACCCCACACAGAGGGAGTATCCTCCCAAGACTCGGGTGACAGAAGAAGGACAGGCCCAAAGGCAGGATCAAGGGCCAAGGAGGGGAGGGGAAGGGGATTTTCACTTACACAGCCCACTCGAGCTTCTCACTTCGGATAGACCAGTAGAGAGCCTGGAACAGAAGCACATGGTAGGCAGAGGGACCTCAGGGCTAGGCTACCTAAACTCACCCCTCAGACACAGAGCTAGGGGCATGTGTGCTGCCTGTCCTGGCACCCCCATCACAGGTATCCTTCTCCTTTGACTGGACAAGCACCTATCACCTGTCCATCTATCCATCTACCCACCCACCTGTCCATCCATCCATCCATCACCCATTCATCCATCCATCCACCTGTCTGTCCATTTGTCCATGCAACAAATTATTCCTGGAGCATTTCCCAGGTGCCAGGCCCGAGGCTATATACTGGAGACACAGAGATGACCAAGGCAGCAAGTCCTTGCTCTGCCCAAACTTGGAAAGGCCTGAACTAGTTTTCTTGAAGGGGACATGCCATCGTGTACCAGCCAGCATGGAGGGATCAGACAGAGAGGGAATCAGCTAAGCAATCCCCACAATAAATGTCTGATCATGGAAGGAACTCATGAATGATGTGCTAGAATTCTGAATCAACATAGTGAGTAGTCCTGACAGAGGTGCATCTCGCTAGCTTGGTACCCTCCAAATGCCTGGCAAAGTGTGCAGCATACAGTAAGCACTCAATAAATGTTCACTAGATGAAAGAACCAGAGATCTGCTTGGGAAGCAGGTGCTGCACCTGGCGAAGGTGATCTCATCTTGAGGAGGACACTGTGAGGTGGGGATCTTGAGTGGCCCAGGGGTATGTTGTCCCACTCCCAAACCTGAGTTCGAGACATTTGCTGCATGAAACTTTGCCTGTCATCTACTCAGAGTGCTTCTCAGACTTCAAAGGGACAAAAATCACCTAGACGGACACTCAGTGGAGCATCTGCAAGGCTCCAGCCCTAGAGCGTGGCTCAGAGGGTCCAGGGCTGAGATCTGCAGTTAACCAATTCTGAGATGTCCCTGATGCTGCCACCAAGCCAAAATACATCCTCCTGGCATTTCAGCAGAGCCAGGCTGAGTTCTGCGTCCCCCTTGGGGCAAGGGACCAAGGACCAGGCTCCACGGGGAGCCTGGAGGGGGAGCCTGGACAGGGGAGCCTGGACAGGGGAGCCTGGACAGGGGAGCCTGGAGGGGGGGCCTGGCCACACCTTCAGCAGCTCCTTGGGGAAGTCACCGCCGTCCTGCAGGCCGTGCAGGTTGGTGACGAAGTCCTGGCAGCTCATGCTCTTCCCAATGTTCTGTGGCGTGGAGAGAAGAGGGACAGCTTGAGCACCCCACCCCGACTGAACACACCCCTGTCGGTCCCTCTGGGGGATCCTCCAGCGCCCCAGGCCCCTGTGCCCTGGGCCCTCAGCTCCCCGCCTCTCACCTGCCCGTGCAGGTCCGTGTTCAGGAGCATGATGGCACAGGTCAAGGTGTGCACAGAGTCTGCCCCAGGAAGAGAGAAGGGGAAGCCACGGAAATTCTGACTGCCACGTCCTCTGCCCACAGGGTGGGATGCACCCTCGCCCCGCACCCCCGCCCCGCTTCTCAGCAGTCCCCACACGCCCCCAGCAGCCCCCGCCCAGGGAATGCCCCCAGCCCTGCCCCACCCGCAGCCGCCCACCCTACCTACTGAGGGGAAGGCCCCAGGGTTGCAGTGGTGGAAGCGCCGGGAGAACTGGTAGAGGACCCGCTCCCGCTCCTGGGTCTCCCCGCTGAGCACCAGGGCCTGGAGGAAGCCCCTGCAGGAGGACGCGGTCAAGGAGAGGCAAGTGGGTGGCCGCATTCCCAGGGCAGGGAGCCAACCCCATCCCATGTCCCACGACTGCCCCCTCCACAGCCTCCCCAGGGAGGGCCCGCAGGTGGTACCGGAGGGCTCGGTCCAGGCTCTGGCCTCCAAACTGGAAGAAGGACAGGTACTCCTCGGCCACCGCCCTGCTGAAGTCATCGCTGCAGAGGGACAGCCGCCTGAGAGCTGGACTGGGGCAGGCTGGGCCTGGCCACGGCATGGGCCAGACATGGACCCCAGATCCCAAGATGGCAAGGGGCACCACCCAGTGCTGTGTGGAGGGGCCTGTGGGTTCTGGGGTGGGCCGGGGGCTGGGCCGGGGCTCTAAGAAACATGGAGGGTGTGCAGCAGAGATGGTCCAGCTAGGACCAGAGGAAGCAGCAGGGGGCCAGAGAACTGGGGAAAGGCCGAGGGTGGGGTGCGGAGGAGGGCGGAACACTGGGAGGAGAGGCAGTGGTGGGCTTGGGGGTGGTGAGGAGGGGTCACAGGACAGGGAAGGAGGGGGACAGCCCATGCAGGGAGCCCGTGGGCAGCTGCCCTCTGTCCTGCCTCCCCTTCGGCCTTGCCCAGGCCCGATGCCCTTACTTCTTCTGCAGGTGGACGGCCACTTCAGACTTCCGGAAGCCCTCCAGGTGATAGAGGCGTGAGGCCAAGTTCCACGCCGTCTTGTCCGTAGTCCGGAGGCCATTAGCCAGTTTGTCCCTAGCCAGTGTTTTCCGGCCTTCCTCTGGGGACTGCGCTTGGGACGCAGAGCTCTCAGCATGCCTGGAAGAGTCCATCAGTGTCCTCAGACTCACACCTGGATGGCCTGCAGGCGTTCTGGGCCAGGGGTCCATGCAGGCCAGCCATGGAAGGGGGTGCCCAGAACTCGGGGTTGGAGCTGGGCTCAGACCCTCACCCAGGGGAGACAGAATCTCAGCCTGCCTCACAGGAGAGTTGGGAGCCCCACACTTCCTCCTGGGGAGGATCTAAGCTTTCTCACCTGGAGCTCAGGTGCAGCCCTTCCAGGCCCCCAAGGTGTTCTGTCAACCAAGGTGAGTGGAGCGTTTCTCTCCCCTGAGCCCAGCCCTGTCCCCCGCTCCCACCCTAGCCAAGAAAGGCGAAGGCCGGGCTTAGAACAGGGAGCTAGACTGGCTTTGGATGGTGACAGGGGAGTCAAACAGGGGGGGGTTCCTGCCCTCCTGAGCCTGGCACTGCTCACCACCAAGAGCCTGGCGGGTGAGTTAAGCCAAGTGGCGCTTCACTCCAGGACCAGGAGCACTGAGCTCCACACCAAGGCCCTGAGAAGTCACTCAGCCCCATCTCTACCTGACTCTGCTGTGCTCCCTGCAAAGGTACCACCAGGTGTGGGCGTCCTAGTCATTCACATATTCATGAGCAAGTCGGCACAGTGACAGAGTCGCACAGAACGCAAATGTCATCAAATATCATCGCAAGGTGAAAACGGCCGCCCGCAACCCGAGGGCTGATTAGACCCCCGAGGGTCCTCTCCACCTCTCGTGAACAGGTCCACTCTTGGCTGATAACTGCTCTGCTTCCTGAGTCTCCTAAACATCCCAAAATGCAGGATCAACATGACAGACACTGAAGAGCAAAAGGCAGGTCTTGCCAAAACCTGTAGGATTTCAGGAAGTCCATGAAAGTGACCCTGGAAGACTCCAGGAATCCCACAAGAAAGCCACTGACAGACGGGGACTGCCAGAGTTAGTCCCCCAGAAAACTGAAGAGGAAGAAATAGAAATAATGACACAATTGGCCAAGTAATGAGAACTATATGGATAATAAACTGATAAAGAGCCAGGTGCCGTGCCCATGCCTGTGATCGCTCAGGAGGCTAAGGCAGGAGGATCACAAGTTTGAGCCCTTGAGCAACTTGGCAAGACTCTGTCTCAAAATAAGAAATAAAATGTGAGGATGTGGCTCAGTGGCTAAGCACCCCTGAGTTCCATCTGTGGTACCAAAAAAAGAAAAAAAGATCTTTAGGATCTCACTATGAAAGGTGGCATAAATGAAAGAGGCCACCAAGGCTGTGTCAAGAAAATTGAACTTCCTACAGTGTGTTAAATGTAAGACTAAATAAACTTACTTATATGTTTAGCCAAGATAAAGCCATTCGCCAAGATAAAGCCCAATTAACCCTTTTCACCATTTATTTACTATGAAACTAGAGTTGTCACTTCAGGTGGAGTTACTTTTGCTTTGGGTTGGATTAACTAGTCTTTGGTATCTGCAGCCTCCCTTTTTGGAGGCTGAGATTTCTCTGGTTACCTGGCCTCTGAACAGCCCCATGGCAGGGAAGTTTCCAGAAGCATAAGGAAAGTGGTTCTGTGGTTTCTGGCACTGACTGACGTTTGTCATCGTCACCCAAGCACCCGAGATGGGAATAGGGCTGGCCTGTCGCAAGCCACCCATGGGCTGTGTGTGAGCTATGTGCATTTGAGCGTCTGAGGGGACTGGTCTGGCGTTACAAGGTTTTTGGGCTGTGTGACGTTTGTGTCATTTCCTCTCGCTCTGCCTGTGATCCCACACAGCACCTGTGATGGGCGTGACTTGCCGAGATGTCAATCAATCTGCTGACCACAGACATCACCAGGCGAGACTCCACCCTTCAAAACCCAACCCCTGGCCTTATTTGGGTGGAACTTTCTATTGAATGTCTTTTCCCCAATAAATAGAGGGGTTTGGGGTGCACTCTCTCTCTTTCCTTCCCTGATCCCCTTGCCTTCCAGCATGGAGCTGAGGTCTCAGGGCCATCCCTGACCCCCCAAAAAGGTATTTCTGTGTTTGTGTGGTTTTCTTAGTTGTCAGCCTGGCCAGCTGGTGACACTAACCCCCCATATCTGCACCATCCGGTCCAATATGCCCCTGTTAGCCAACCAGAGACAAAGCCCCGCTCCCCTGCCAAGTTCCAGGGGTCAGGAGTCTTGACGCAGCATGGGGGCTGGTAGTCAATGAGGTCCGCTTCCCAGGTGGCCTGCTCCCACCTCTGGCCACAGTCCTGAGGTGACACCTACCTGCAACGGGCCCCAAGAGCCACTCACTCAGTCCCCACCAGAGCTCCCCTCCGAGATCAAAGCCAGCACCCTGAGCCTAGGCTGTCAGGTGACTTTCTCCCAAACACTCCCTCAGTCCAAAGCCATCTCTAATCCCCACGTCACTGGACTACTCTCCCCCAAGGCGGCCAGGGCCCGGTCAGCTCCCCACAACGCCTCCCTGCCTTCCTCCTCACCTGGCGTCCAGCTGTGGACACTCCCCAGGGTCGGGCCTCTCCACCCTTCCACCTCCACCTGGGACCATCCGCCCATTTGTTTCTTGAGCTTCTAGACCCTCTGGTCCCTATCAGCTCTCTCCTGAGGCCGTTGAGACAGCCCAGCTGTGAGGCTGCCAGAAGGACTCATGGCCAGATAGCTTTACCCTCCATCCAGAGGAGGGCTGGGGGCTTGTGGATTCCTTTTCTTTTCTTTCCTTCATTCTTTTTCCTGGTGCTGGGGTTGAGCACACGCTTTCTCACATGCGAGGTAAGAGCTCTTACAACTGAGCTACTTATTTACTTGGAGACTCACTAAATTGCCCTGGCTGGCCTTGAACTTGCACTCTGCCCACCTCAGCCCCCCACCCCTGGTAGCTGGGATCACACGGCCAGCTCCACGCTGGGTACTCTGAATGCAACCATAACTAGGAGCCAGGGCGCCAGTTGGTCTGAGACTCACCCCTCCGCAGCAATGGAGTCCTCGCCAGGCTCAGCACCTGCAGCCTCTGGAGTCCTGGCTGGGCCCTCGCTCTGTGCCTCCTGCCCTGGGTGTGGAGCTTTCCCCGTCACCTCTTTCTTCAGGGAACTCGGCTCTGCCCCATCCGACTCCAGAAGAGAAGGGTGTGGAGCATCTCGTGACCACTTGGGGAAAGTGCCAGGGCTGTGGCGCTGGGACGGTGGGCTGCTCTCCGGGGAGGTGGAGGGGCTGGGCCTGGGGCCGAGGCCTCTGTGCTCAGACTCTGGGCTCCCCCAGGGCCCAGGGGCCAGGATGCAGGGGGCAGGTTCCTGGGGACGCCCGGCATCCCTTCCACCTGAGGGAGAGTGTGGAATGAGCAGGCACAGGGCAGGAGGCCCAGCCGGGCAGGCTGTCCTGCAGGCCTTCCGCCCAGGCACCCAGCTCTCCCCCTGGAGCCCCGCAGCCTTATCCTCCCTGGGGCTGTGCCTCTGCCACATGGGCAGCAGCCACCAGGATTCAGTCCCTAGGTGACTAAGAGCCCCAGACTTTTTCTGAACCAGTGAGACCCAGCCATTGGGAACGGAGGGTCTTGAAAACCCTTTTATTGGCAACAAAGTCTGGATTCAACCTCAGACTCTCTGGCTCCCACACAGAATGACGACCCCAAGAACCACCCCCGCTTCCTGCCACCGGACCCCTGCGTTGGGTCTCACCTCTATCCTGGGAGATAAGAGGCTCCTGGGGCCAGGAAAGACCCTCTTCTGTCTGGCAGGCCTCAGGGGTGGGTGGCTCCTGTGGAGATTTACAGAATCCCATAAGCCCCAGATTCAGAGTGAGGGGGAAGGGGAGAGAAGAACACGGGGCACCCGGAAGCCCCTCCCTCCTTGCCGACCCCCACCCGGAATACACAGGCACCAATCTGGGTCCTCAGTTCTGAAGAGGATCCCGGATGGGAGAAGACCCACATCCTAGGAGAGTAGAAATCAGCAGGTTCTTGTTCCTCCTTCATAGATGGAGAAGGTGAGGCCCAGAGAGGGGAATTGACTTGCCGAAGGCTGCACAGGATGTGTGGCAGGGCTAAGGTCAGCTCCATGGTGTGCAGTCTCCCAGGCCAGTGCCCTATCTTCATACGGTACCGCAGGTGAGGCCAGACGGGGCTGGTCCTCCAGAGAAGTCTAAGAGGAGGAGGGTGCAGAGGAGAGGTTTGACCAGAAGGAAATTATTCCCAGGATCTTTGCATATCCTACAAGTCTCCTCACCTCACCAGACGCCTGCTCAGGCAGTACTTGCCCTAGAGGGGCATGGGTCCAGGGAGGGTGCTGGCCCTGGGCACAGGCCTGGACGGCAGGCTCAGCCAGTGGGAAGGCAAGCCCCAGCTCCTCCCAGGCTTCCCTCTGAGGTCCTGAGACAGTGCCCCTCACAGGACGCAGCCCAGCCACCCCCTGGGCCCTGCCTGCCGGGCTCCTCGCACTCCATGTTCTCTGGAGAGATTAGAGAGCCACAGCCCCTCCGCCATCTTGAGCCTCCTTATCTCTGAAGGAGGCCTCCCTGGGAAAACTGTTCCCTATTGTCTCGTCCCCAGGGCTGGGTGATATCCCAGGCCCCCTGCCATGGTCATATGAGCCTGATCTATTGATCATGGATGGGGGACAGTGGAAGATGGGGAGCTACAAGTAACAGAACCCCGGTATCCCTCGGGACACTTTCTATTAGGGCAGAGGCCAGTCCTGCTGGTATTTGGGACAGTCTGGGGGGCGGGGAAGACTCAGAACCTGCCTGGGACACCCTGCAACGGAGGAGCTGTCTGTTCTTCACATGTCTCTAGACACAGCCCCTCGGAGATGGGGACTTCTGTGGACCTCACTACCATGGTCTTGGGCCGACACTGTGGCAGTGATGACCTTCCCATGGTTCTGAAGGCCACACTGGTCCTGCTGGTCAGCAGTGTACCTCAGACAACCAGTGGACCCTGCATTGAAGAGTGTTCGGCCCCAGGAAGGCCCTCCTCTGCGTGTCCCCAGGGCAGCCCTGGGAGTGAACTCACCTCGCCCTCCTGCGCGGCAGGTGCTGTGGGAGCCCCGTGGGTGGCCCAGCAGGAGGTGTGTAGCTTGTAGGAGGGCACAGGGAACGGAGGGGTGGCACACCCGCTGGACTCCGCGGTATTGCCCTTCAGGTCTGGCTCACTGCCCAGCTCCTGGGGCCCTGTGCCTCCCAGGAGCCGAGGCTCCAGAGCCTGCGGGCTGTGGGGCCTCGTCCTCACATCCAGGCAGGAGTCGGAGAAGCCCCAGGAGAAGCACTCCCCAGAGGCGCTGGTGTCCGAGCAGGGGCTCTCCAGGAAAAGGGGGTTGTCGAAGAACAGGCTCTCCTCCTCAGCACCCCACTCTGGGGAGGAGTCTGCTGCTCCCTCCAGGGCCCAGGCCTGGCTCTCCCCCTCAGGCCCACTACTGTCCTCCCCGGAGTCCTCCTCCACTGCTGGGCTGGGCCGCAGGTCCCTGTCGCCAGGGAGGCCCGGGGAGGACGAGGGCACGCAGCACCTCAGCTCAGCCCTGAGCCCTTCCGTCTTCTCCAGCTCCTCTTCCAGGTCCAGGACGCACATCTGGGCCTGCAGGATGCCGGCCCAGAACACCACCTGAGTGGAGGAGCTATGGTTCGGTCGGGGGCTCCCGGTGGGACAGCTGCCCCCTGGCGTTCCTGGGGAGGAGCAGCGTCCCACGTGCACAGGCTCCACACCAGAGACCCTGGCAGGAGCGTCAGGCCTGCTGGTCTCGGGAGAGTCCAAGGCCCAGGTGTGTCCCCCGCAAGGCTCAGGAGGGCCTGGCTGGCCATGGGTCTCCCTCTGGCACACTCCTGGGTGGGGCTGCAGGTTGTCTCCCAAATAGAGGTTGAGCAGTTCCACGGGCTGCGGGTGGTCGGGGAGTCTCCTGTCGCCCATCATGCACAGAGCTCAAGCCGCACAGGAGCCTCTGGAGTGTCCACGTTCACCATCCCACGGGGTGTGACAGGGGATGTGTCCACCATTGGGGGCCACCGGGAGTCCAGCTCTGCCCTGGAAATGCCCAAAGGAGCGCAGGTTAGAGAAGTGTCCTGGGAGTGAGCACACGTCTGCAGCGTGAGGGGTCTGGAGGGCCTGCCGTGTGCAGGAGGCTGGGAAGCAACCCTGCCCGCGCCCTGCGGTGGAGCAGAATGTCCTGCACATGCTGTCCGGTCCGCAATCTCAAGCCCCCACCAGGGAGCCCCAAACACACCCATCTGCCGGTTGAAGGAACACCGTGTGGGTTAGCCAAGGACGAGCTGGCTGGAAGCATGGTGGAGCAGTGGCCAGTGAGAAGGAAATGCAAACCAAATACGCAGGAGACGCAGAGGCTGGGAGGGGAGCGGCCTGGCGGGGAAACAGGCACCACCCAGGAGACAAAGGCCCCAGCCCGCCTGACCCTGACCGTCCTGTCCTTGGGGCTGCACCATTCCCAGGGCTACTCCCAAGGCTGGGCTTCTGGCCCTTGCAGCCCGTAAGCAGCTGGGCGGAGGTGCAGCAGCAGCAAGGAGCTCCAGCCCTCTGCCCCCCGGCAAGGCCACCTGCAGCTCGGGGAGGGCAGCCTGGCCTTCTGGGAGCGGCCATGGCCACATCTGCCAGGAGCTGCCCACCCACGCGGGCTGCCCAGCACATCGTCCACAGGACAGGTCTGGGTGGGCCCTCATTCAGCACAGACCCTCCCAGGTGTACCCGAGGACGTGTGTCCACGGGTGCTCCACCCTCAGGAGTGATTCAGATACCCAGGAGCCGCAGCCCCTTCCACCCATCCAAGCCCATCCCCAGCCTCCACTCGCCAACCCAGACAGGGAAGGCCGGCGGGCACCTGCTGTGCCCTGTTTCACGGGGAGGGAGAAAGCCCGAGGCTGGCTCAATGTCCCCGCTGGGAACAGAGGCCAGGCCTGACCCCAGACCACCCACCCTCCAGTCCACAGCTCCCTCCTCCCACCCCCGCTGCAGGAGCCTCCCTCTGACATGGAGGGGGGGCTGCCAGATGGCCGCCCCAGCCCAGCCCCCTGCAGCACCATGGCCTGTCCTTGTCCAGGGCTCCAGACCTCATCCAAGGGCCCACCCAGGCAGGCTACAAGAAGGTAGGGCCAGACCTGGTGTGCAGGCCCAGAAAACCACAGGGACAACTTCTCCCTGCCTGGTGGCAGACAGCAAGGGCCTGGCCTCTCAATCTCCCTCTGCTACTTAGAACTGAGTGACAGCCGGGGAAGTGCCGCAGCCCTGTGGGGCCCAACTCAGAGGGGAGCTGGGGGAGCTCAGCCTTCAGCCCAGGTTCAGCCCACCACTGGACACCCAAAATGGAAACCCCACAACCCTGCAAACAAAGATCAGACAGGGCCCCCTACTGTTTAAGGCCACCAGAGCCAGGGGCCGTGTGTAGGCCATAATCCCAGGGATTAGGGAGGCTGAGGCAGGAGGATCACAAGTTTGAGGCCAGCCTCAGCAATTGAGTGAGACCCTGTCTCAAAATAAAATTTAAGAAAGGCTCAGTGTATGAGGCCCTGGTTCGATCTCCAGTGCTGGGGGAAGAAGAGTCCCCGAGAAACGAGGGAGTATTAACATGCATGTCAGCTTCTTACTCATCTTCAAACTATTCTCCTAACACTTCCTCAAAGATAGAGTCCCCTCCTAGGTTTTTACCCACTTCTGTTCTACCCCACGTCCCGTACTTTCCGTAGAACAGGAATCTGGGCCTGCAGAGGCTTCAGCCACTGAGATAGGTCACCTGATGTCCTTTATCAGTTAGTGATAAGTCAGCTCCGGTCCTGTTCTCAGCCCCTGTCCCTCTCCAGGCTCGGCTCCAGAGGCACCACCATCTCACGGCTGGAAAGGCTACTCATGCAGCTGATGCTCTGAAGCGACCTGAAGGGACGTAGCCTTGCCTGTCACCCTCTGCTCACCCCTCGCCCCACCCAGATCTGAGTGGCAATGCCTGCCCCCTCCCCCCCCCAGAGCTGCCCATCCCCCATCCTCACTTCTCTGGGTAAGAGGCTGGGGCCGTCCTGGTTCGTTGGAAAAGGGACAAGGGGGCCCTGGGGCCGGCTAGGGTTTGGGTCTGCAGTGTCACTCAAAGTGCCCAGCATGGTGCTACCGGGAGGTGGTAGAAAGTGTAAGCAGCGGGCCTGGTGGGAGGTCTTCGCGTGGCGTGGGGAGGGGTCTGGGACCCTGGTCTCTTCTCTCTTTCCATCCCCGGCATGGGGGGAGCAGGGCAGCCCCCACACACATGTGCTCCTGCGGATGCCACAGCCCAAAGCAAAGGTGCCAATCAACCGTGGACTAAATCCAAGCTAAAATCAACCTTTTCTCTTCTCTTCACAAGCTGATTGACCAGGGCACCCCTGGATCACGATTCTCCCTCCTGGCCTGCTGGGGGGACAAGGACCATGTGGTAGCCAGAGGCAAAACAGCCCTGCTGTCCTCATGGGGTTGAAAGCCCCTAGGACAGGGCAGGCCTGGAGTCCAGGGAGGGAAGGTCCTGGACCTGCAGATCCCAGCCCTAGCCCAGCCTTCTGCCAGGCCCCAGGCTGCTTCCCTGCACCCCTCCCTGCCGAGACCCCTTGATCTGTGTCCACCCGGTTCCTCCTGAACCCCTCCCTCATCCTCATCTCCAGCCCCGACATGTTGCATCTGAACCTGTGCCAGCCTCACGTCCCTGTGGGCACCGTGGCAATTTGACATCAACTCGCTTAACAGGACAAGTTCACAAGCCCATGGTGGGTCTGGGAGCAGGGGCAGGGCGGGTAGAAAGGGCACCCTGGATTTTTATGAGACCACTCTTTTTGCAAGTGTGCACTTAGGCACAGGGGTATGTGAAGGAGAAGTTCTGAAGACACATCATTACCCTGCAGTTCAAGTGGACCTGAAAGTTACAGGTCAATGCTGACTTGAGAAGTTCAGGTCCACTCCTGGACACCTGAGGTTCCATAGCTGGGTGGGAGGTAGTCCTAGTTCCATAGAAACCACCGGACACGAGCAGCACACACCTTCAAGGTGGGGGTGGCCAAGGGTAGCCATAACTGTATGAGGATGCCCAACATCTGGGACATACTTGTGCTAACAATTTATTCACTGTTTATGAGAAATTCAAATTAACTGGGCTTTCTGTCTTTTATCTGGCAACCCAACCCCACAGGGAAGGTATAAACAATGTTATCAAGCCCCTGCCACGTGCCAGCTCTCAGCTGATTCCTCTCACTTCCCAACCACACCATGGCGAGACAAGTGGTGACATCCCTTCCTTCCTAACAAAGAAGCTGAGGCTCAGAGAGGTTCTGAAGTTGCACTAGGTAACTCAGCTGTAGGCAGGGGGCAGGGGTCTGAGTCCAGGTCCACAGCTCTCTTAGCCAGCACCTTCTTCCCATCCCCAAATCAATCCCCTTGGATAATCATGAGGTTCATGAAGGGGAAAAGTGCTTCTTCCTTCTTTTCTTTTTAAATCTGTCCCTCCTTCAGGTGGAAAGGCCTAAGGGTATGGTCACGTCTGAAAGCCACTGAGGTGTCCTGCCAGTTACCTGGGTGAGGACAGAGACCAGCCTTTGCTTCCTGGAGGTGGGATGGCCCCTCTTAAGCAGAGACAAGGCAAGAACCCATGTCTTATGCATGCATCTAGAATTTTCTTTTTTGACATTCCCAGGTCCAGAGTTTAGTAAAAACCTCTTTTGAAATTTCCTGTGTCCAGTACGGAACAAAGAGAGAGGAAGGGATTCCGCAACAGAAGAATGTGGCACACGCCTGGTCTGGTGGCTTCTGTCACCTAATATAAAGTGGCCCTTTGCTTTTCTGCACTCTGCGATGGCTCAGGAAGTTTAAGGATAAATTCCGGGATATGGAGACTGGCTCTGCAGGATCCCAGAAAGAGATCTGGAGCAGGGGGAAGGGAGCCGCAAGGGGATGAGGTGGAGAAGAGGGAAGACCCCATTCAGCTGCAGTGGGTCCCAGCCCTGCTCTCGAGCTTGCAGGGGACCCTCCTGGGGATTCGCCCTGGAGTGAAAGTGTCCCACCCCGACCCCAGGACTGTGGTACAGTTTCCTTTTGATCTTACAGGGCAGGAGGGAGCCCTGGGGACACTGGACTGGACTTTGCTCTTTACCCTTGGCTTGGGGGATAGTCCTCTGGCTGAAGAATGGGGAGGCCCAGGCCTGGGTGCAGCTCAGTGGCAGAGCGCTTGCCTAGCACCTAGCATGCAAGTCCCCTCAGCCCTAGGCCCTGGGGACCGTCCCCTGCACCGCCAAATAAAAAGAAATGGGAAGGCCAGGCACAGACTTGGGATGCGACAGGCCTGGGAACTTGGCCCACCTCCGTCCCTTGCCCACCTCGGAGTCATGGTGACCAGCAGTTCACAGCTAGAGGCACATCTGAGCTCTATGCCACCTGCCCAGCCAGGTGACTGAGAAGAAAACCTCACCTGGTTCCTCAACTGTAAAGTAAGGAAATCAGATGGCGGGAAGTACCTGCAGCTGCATTCCCGAGTGGGACTGCCTCTCAGGGCAGACGCTGGGCCGGGCCTACCAAGGAACCCATGTCCTGCTCTGTTGAACTCTGCTGCTTTGCCACCCCCCCAAAGAAGCCAGAGTACCCCAAATAGCAACCACACCCCTTGTCGGGCTCGGCTGGCTCACCTCTGCCCTCAGCTTCAGGAGGAGAAACCCCATGTTCTACCAGGAGTGCACCCGCCCCTCTGTCCTGCAAGCTTCCAGGCCCAGCCAGCAACGGTCCTTTCCTCCATCCTCCAAGTGGAAGTGGGCGGCCCTGTCCTGCACATGCAGCCTGCCCAGGAGAAGGGGCCTCTGGGGCTCCCTGGTCTGGAGCCGCAGGACAGAGGCCCCTGATGAATGTGAGCTGGCGCCCTGAGAGCTCTGATCAGGGAGGCCCCACATCCTGCCCCTGAGAAGGAGCCTTCATGCAAATGTGCTCAGAGGTGGGGAGAGGTAGCTAGGGGCTCCTTGGGGGAGCCAGCTGGGGCTCAGGAAGGGAGCAGAAAAGGTGGGGAGGAGGTGGGGGTGTGAACCAAAGAGCCCCAGAACACCTAGTACTGTCCCCTCACCAGACTCCGGATGTCACCCCTCCCGCCACAAAGACCCCAGCAGCCGGCACCCATCCCTGTGCTGGGTGCTGCCTTGGCCTCGGGAGGCCGTGAGCAGCCCACAGCCCAGGGGGCAGGTCTTTCAGGCCTAGCTGAGGTCCAGCCCTCTGAGGCGCCTTCTGGTCAGCTGAGGACAGGTCATCTTCCCAGCCTCCAAGCAGCACAGTGACTCCAGCAGGGGGACTTTAGCCTCTGGAGTAAAGGGGCAGTAGCTGGGCCTTCCCTCCATGAGACTCTACTGACCTTCAGGGTAACAAGTGGCCTTAAAGGATCTCAAACAGGGACACTGAGAGTGACAGCGTTCCTCCTGCACATCAGGACAATAGGCTTAAGCCAGAGAAAACAGGCAGCGTCCCCCACCCTAACCTGACCTTCCTGGGTGGGGCCTGGATGCAGGGTGAAGCTCCCCCTAACGGCAGGGCCTGCCTCTCCAACCCCACAGCCACCGACCGCACCCAGGCCAGCACCAAGACCTGGGCTCCCTCCCTGGGGTCCCCGACCAGGGCTTGCTCAGGGCCTCAGCCACAGAGGCCCTGGGGCTCTGGGAAGGCTTCCCCAGCCCCTGCCCTTCACTACTGCACACCTCTAGGGGCTCTGGGGACAGGGAACATCAGAGAAGGGCTGGGGAGGGGGTGTTGCCGGGTGGGAGGATGGAGAAGAGGAAGGGGAGGGGAGGGTCCAGGCCCAGGCCAGGTGCATGCAGTAGGTGCACACAGTGGGGCCCAGGCCCTGGCTTCCTGCCTGCCCACCTGTCCCCAGCCCCCGTCACAAGAGCCCCACATGTGGCTCACATTCTAGGCTCCATCCCCTCCAGCCCCTCCCCAGGCAGGTTCTCCCAGCTCACCTCCAAAGGGTCCAGAAGTGAGGAGCTGCCCTGCGCCCCCCAGTCCTGGGAGAACTTCCTGTCGAGCAGTCGTCTGCCCCACAAATGCGGCCGCTGTGCTTCCGACTTCCGCTCGCTCCCCTCATCACGATGACACACACCATCCTGCTCCCCGGGGCTCCCCAGGGCCCAGCACCTCACACTTCCTGCCCACAGGCCAGTCTTCCGTGCCCAGCGGCAGGCCTCAGCCCCTCTCCACATCCCACTCGGGGGGCCCTTCCCAGCCCAGGAAGGACCTGCCGTTGCTCTGCCTTCACCATGGAAGGGCCTGGAGAGGGAAGGGAAGGTGCTGGACGGGGACTGCGGCAGGCCCCTCCCCCTCCCTCCCTGCAGTTCTGCCCAGCTCAGTCACCTGCAGGCACCCTGTGGAGACAGGAGGGTCCCAAGCCAGCCAACTTTCCTTTTCCCTTTTAACATGACATCTCCATTTCTGCACGGCTATGTCTCATAATGACACCTGATACAAGCCTTGTCGTTACAAAGTGTCGCCAACTCTCCTTGCTGGGTTCTCCCACCTGCTTTATGATGCTTCACTGTGCCCACTCTACAGAGCGGGAGACGGGCTCCGAGAGGTCACACCAGCTCAGATGGGAAGTCACAAAGCCGGGGTCTGAACTCAGCACCTCTGAGCACAGGAGCCACCTCTTGCCCCATCTGTTCCCCACGCAGGTCCTGGGCACCAAGGCTAGAGGGGAGCCACCCCCATGGTCCCCTTCTCTCAGGCCCTGTCCACTTCTCCAGCCTCAGCCCCCGCTGACTTCTCAGACCACACCCCGAGCTCTAGACCTCCAGTCCACTTGCTGCCTAGGAGCCTCTTCCTCAGTCAAGTCCAAGGCCTTCAGTCCCAGGCCACCTGGGCCATTGTCAAGAGGGCCCCATTCTAGCCACACCCCTCCCCAGGGAACAGGGGAGTCCAGAGGAACATGGCTCCTGAAGCCCAGGCTCCCCTTCCTCCACCACACCAGGTGCCCAGGACCCTGGAACTCTGCCTCTGGGGCTGTGTGGCCTCCTCCTCCCACGGCCCCAGGCCTCGCTGCTCTGTGCAGCCCCGACTGGGGAAGAGAGGCCAGAAGGCTGACTGTGGACCAGCAGCGGGCCAGCAGGGGGCCATGGGGTGGGTAGGACTTGGGGCCATGGCCAGGTCTCCACCCTGTAGACTTGTGACAGGAGGCAGGGTGGGGAAGAGGAGGGAGGGGAGGCCACAGGAGAAGGCATATTCACAGGAGGCCCAGATTTCAGCTGACGCCTGGCCTCTGGGCTGCTCTGGAGTGAGGTAGGCGATCAGGTAGAAGAGGGCAGGACTCCCCTCCACTATGGGTCTCCAGCTTCATCTACACCCCTCACTTTCTGAGACTGACAGGCAGGCCTAGCTCACAGGCCCCTCAAACTGTGTGACACAGGCCTGGCTACGGTTCCTCACACAGATTTCACAACTCTCCGCCCCACTGGGCAGGCCACACCTGGTCACCAGGACCTTCATGCAAACCCTTCTCTCAGGCCCCCAGCCCTCAGGGCCTCTGCAATACCAGCCCAGGCCAGCACCTGCCCTGAGCATTCTTTGCTGGAAACTGCTAATCCATCAGGAATGACCACCCAGGAGCCTGTCCGCAGGGAGCTTCCAATCTGGTGACGCAGAATAAATGAGCGGGCTGAGGGTGAGTGGTGATGCAAGCTAGGGAGAAATGACAGCCGGTGGCAGGGCTGAGCGAGTCACCAAGGGAGGTCAGGGGGGCCTCTGCTGCCCTTGGACAGGTTGTCCAGGAGGAGGGCCAGTCAGGGAGGGCCAAGGGAACTGTAGATCTCACTCTTGCCTGGGGTGGGAAAGGTCTCCATGTGCTCAGAGTGGAAGAGATGGGCCCAGGGTCTGCAGGGGCAGAGCCCGACACGCCCCACCAGGTCTACAAAGTAAGCCAAGATGCCATTCAAGGTGGGCAAATGCCAGGTCAGAAAGCATTTACGTATCTGTGACTTTGTTCTTAAGGTCATCTCTCTGCTGTGCGGAGAACAGAGGGCAGGTAAAAGCAAGGAGACCAGTCACGTCTCTGTGCATGTCCAGCAGAGGGAGGGCAGACCTGGGGCTTGGGATCCACCCTCAGGACCAATGGTCACACTTCCTGCTCAAAGAAGAGGAGGAGAGATGGGCGAGTAGGCAAGGCAACTTCCAGGATTCCGGCTTGAGCCCCTGGCTGAGTGGTGACAGTGACATGTACAGAAACAGGAAGAACCGGGGAGAGAAAGCACTGGGCTGGGACTGTTAAGTACTGGGTTTGAGCTACTTGAGATATTCAAGTCCGCAACCGAAGATCGTACCTGGCCTTAGAGAAGTGTGTGACCAGAAGTCATCAGAGCCAGGGGTGGAGGAGCCCACCGGTACGGGAGGGGACAATCTGCAAAGGGGCCATGAAGTCGGTGAGAGAGAGAGAGAGGCGGGGAGAGAGAGCCCTGTCACTAAGAGGAGAGGCGGCTGCGGAGGAGGAAGTGGCCGGCTTTGTTGAAAGCTTCTGCAAAGTAGAGAAAGATAAGAAGAGAAAGTGGTAGATTGAGAGGGGCCACCCAGAGGTTAGGGCTAGCGAGGCTGGAGGGGACAATGGGGCAGAAGACGGGTGGCTGTGAGGGGAGGACGCACCACCTCCTTGCCCAGGCTGTGCCCCTCGGGTCCAGCTTCCCTGGCCCTCCCTAGCACCCTGCTCCTCAAAGCCGGAGTGCCACCTGGCCGGATCTGCACCCCTCCCCAGCTCTGCCCCCACTCGTTCCTGGGTCCATAGCTCCCCTTGACTGTGAGCTACTCAAGGGCAAGGACAGGTGCCGTCACTGTGCACCACAGCCGGGTTCCTGTAGATGTGTGATGTGTAACTAACACTCGAGTCACCTCAAGAGGACACCACAAGCAACACCAGCGCCCGTTGCTGTTCCAGGCCGTGGTCTGGGCGCATCCAGCGTGCTGGAGGTGGGCTGAGAGGTTCCCGCTTACACCAGGTTCAGGATGAGCCTCCCAGCCCTGCAGCACCTGCTCCTTCCTGTCTGCTTGACTCTTGTCTTCCCAGGGCCACAAGGAGCGTCGCTCGGGCAGAGGATCCTCGGTGGAGGACAGCGGGGTGTCCAGCACCGGGCAGGTTCCCACGCCCAGAGCCCTTCCAGCTGTCAGCCTGGATGCTGGGTCCTCCTGCCCAACTCCTGGGCTCTCTCCTGGGCCTCCTGCACCCCTCCCCAGGACCTGAGGCCACACGGCCTGTACCCACAGCCCTGGTGAGCAACTTCCTGTTTGCCTACAGAGGAAGCTGCTCAGCAGGTTGGTGGCCAGGTGGCTTCCCATACCCTGAGCCAGGAGGGGAAGCGGCCACCTTCTAAGAAGGAACCCTGGGTATTTCAGCAGAGTCTGGCCCTCCTGGGAGGCAGAGGGGAGAGAGCAGAGGGCAGCAGAGGAAGGGACATGGGCACTTGACTCACACCGCCCTTTCCTGAGGCCCTGCGTGCTGACCGACAGGCCCTCCACAGCACCTGACCAGACTCTAGGGGTGTGTGGGGGAGGGGTGTCTGAACCTACACCACAGACAGGGGAGGAGACGAAAGGTCACAGCTGTCACTCACGCTCACAGGCAGTCGGTGGAGAAGCCTGGATGTAAACCAGGGAGCTGACCCCAGCAAGCACACCCTCCGCTCTTCCCTGGCCACCCACGTGCCTCAGGGGGGTGAGCCAAGGCCGCCCTCCTCTTAAGCCAGCAGAGATGCTAGGGTGGGGTGAAGCCATTCCTCTCAACTCGGGCTTACTGTAGCGCTCAAGCTGATGGAATACTGTCCTTCTGGGGGGACCAGCCACCTGGCAGGGTGAGAAGGAGGCCTGGAGCAACTCAGAGGTTCCAGGACCCCTGAATTTGACACTGTGAACGTTTGTCCCCTTGGGGAAGCCTGGGGGTAAGGCAGCCAGGGGCTTCTCTCTTCAGCTCTGCGCCTCTGCCAGGCCAGGCCCCAGCAAGGCCAGACAGGACGCCTGCGCTCCCTCTGCTGAGTTAGACACTTATCCCCCATGGGCCTCTGAGGGTGGACCCCATGGCCAGAGCAGGGAGCTGGAGGTAGGCCTGAGGGGACAAAGGCGCCCCCTCTGGAGGGGAGGTCTTTCAAGGCAGGAGCAGGAGGACAGGGAACAGTCCAGGGGTAAGTCACTGCCCACTTCCCAGCACGAGCCTCTACTACTGTGTCTGCCACTCAACCAGAAGACCCTCTGTGTCTGCAGACAGAGCCTGGACACAGCACCAGGCTCTCACTGCCCCAGCATGAAGGTTTGCCTGGCCTCCCCTCTGGGCCTCCCCTCTGGGCCTCCCCTCCCGGCCTTTCCCAACACTGTGAGTTTTAAAGATGGGCACTTGCCAGGCAGCCTCTAGTTGTGGATCTGCCCTCTCAGGGTTGGGCTCTAGTTAGCTCTCCATCTCCCAGTCCCCTGGCACCAGAAGTCATCCACAGAACAGCTCCTGAAACACACGTGTGCGTCATTACTTACAGTGACAAAAATGCTCAGCCTTCAATATCCACAACAGCGAATCAGATAAATGGTTGGGGGTGGGGGGGCGGCTGTCACATGGCCACATGCAGACCCAGGCACCCTCTAGCAACCTCGTTTTTGAGGAGTATTTAGTGAAGTGGAAAGATGCTTATAGCATATTAAGTAATAAAACTATTTATATATTCATATTATCTCTACTTTTAAAACCTTGTTTATTTAGGCAATAAAACAGGAAAACAGCAATTGATAATCTGCATGGGAACCGAATACAAAGTTTTCATTTCTCTATGGAAATTTTGCTTGGAATGTACCTAATTTGGAAAAATAAGTATGTGTTTATCATCATCAAAAATAGTAAAGGTATCAGCAATTTAAACTCATTGGATTAAATAGTGATTGGTTCCTCCGTTCACAGGGCGGCTGGCAGACCCTTTCCAAACCTGTCTCCCCATTGCTAGTGGAGGCTGAGACACAGGGGTCCAGAGGGTCTGCACAGGTGGGTCTGGTTTTGTTTTGGTGGCACTGGGGGTTGAACCCAGAGGTCTGTACCACTGAGCCCCATCCCCAGCCCTTTTTATTTTGTTTTGAGATAGGTTCTCGCTAAGTTGCCCAGAATGGCCTTGAACTTGCGGTCCTGCTGCTCAGCCTCCAGGTAGCACCGGCAGTATTTGCTCTACTTGACCTAAAGCATCACTGTCTCTCAAGTGGCTGCCATGGTGACCTGTCAGATGTAGGTGTGGGAATCAACTTGGAAGCCCAGAGTTGGCACAAAAACCACCTAAAGGTGAAGACATTTGAGATTTGACAGCGACAGAAAGGGTTCTCCTGGAGCTTCTCTTCACGACTCCAAGCAGCAACGTCTGGGGAACAGGCTGCCCTAAAATCCTTGTCAGGAGTAGCTGTTCCCAGAAGGGAGAAGAGAAGTGAAGGCCACCCCAGACCCTTCCCTGTGACGGCTTTGTAGCCCTGAAGGCCATGGTGAGATCATGTCTGCACAAACGTTGCCCATAACTTTGTCTCTCATCTGTTCTCCTAAAAACCCATCCCGTTTTCCTACGGAAACCTATTTGTCTTCCCACAGAAGGCTTTTCTGCCCCTATTAATGTGTCTTTTGTCAGTTAATTCACAGGTCCCAGCTACTAAGTCTAAGAGGGTAGAGGAGAGGGGGTTTCCCCCTGCCCAGGGTGGGGAGGAGGAAGCCCTGCCCCAGCGCCCCCTCCACAGAGGGAAAGCTCTGTCTGTCTGTCTGTCTGTCTGGGGGGTAACATGCGCACTGCACAGGTGCTGTACTTAACAACGTGAACCGGGCAAAATACAAGTGGTGTACAGACCTATAATTTATCTCATGGATACACAGTAGAGTGGACAATGCCCACTTGATGAGAATTCAAAGAAAAAGATTAAACAATATTACAGGAGAGAAACTGTTGTATCAGAGGTCACGAGCAGGACAGATAAGCAAGCAGACACCTGGTATGGCTGCGTTTGACATTTTCAGCATTGGGAGAAGGAAGGGGAAGGGTCCCTTAGGACGATCATCAGCCCTGAGAGGCCATCAGTCATGGAACAGGAACCCAGGTGTGCGTGAGGAGCAGAGGAGTATCAAACAGAGCAGGCAAAGCAAGAGGGCAACTCAGAACAGGGCGATGCCTGAGCCACATGTTCTCTTGGGGGTGCCCACGCTCAAGCTGGGCCCTAGTACAAAGCCCCGAGCCTTTCAGAGCCCTCTCTACAGTCACCTTTGGGAGACAAAGAGGCAGCCTGGCTGGGCAGCTCCCAGCAGGGACTGTGCTGGAAACTCTGAGCTCTGCCTGGGGCTTTAGCCTGCACACCTGAGCTTCCCGAGGCGACCTCTGTCCCCTCTGCCTCAGCACGTTGAGGGCCCCCCGGGCTGCACCTCCAGCTTCTTGGAAGGTAGGATGGTTACTTGGGCCTTGTTGTGTGCAATCCTCACACCTCTGTCCAAGACCCAGAATGTTAAAGAACTGGTTCCAGGAGGATGCTTTCCTAACCCCTCAGCCAGAAAATGCTCTGGGTCTCCTGGGCCGGCTCAGCCATCCACCCACTCCTCCTGCCCACCTGCCTGCCCCCGGCGCTGTTCTGGATTTTTCTCTCTGGCTCTTCACACTCTTCCGGGGAGACTTTACTCCCATGTATCCACCTCCAACAGTGCACTGCAGAGCCACAGACCCCTCTCCGGCCCAGAGTCCCAGATGCTCATGGGAATCTCAAGCAGGATCCAGACCTCGCGGCCTGTGCAAGGGCCCTGAGCGCCTTCCTAGCCCTGCGCGGGGCCGGCCCCTCTGGGCCCTCACATCTGCGCGCTGCCATGGGTCCCAGCACACTGTCCAGTGCAGGCCCACTGCCCTCCCTGGCACAGCCTCTAATCCGGGGAACTGCAGGACTGCCCACCTTCAGAGTCCATGTCCTCAGCCACCCCAATCCCCACTGCCAGGAATCGCTCCCACCCTGGAAAATCCTTACGACTGGATCCCCTCCACCCCAATGCCACCCCACGGCCTCTCCCTGGTACTTCAGGGACCATCTGGGACCTCCCACCTCCCTCCAGGACCACCCCCTTCCCCCACCCTAAGTCCCAGCAGTCCACCGGCCCTTCCCTAAATGTCCCAGTATGTGTCCTCACGCCATCCTGTCCACTCACCCAGTCCTCTCCATCCCTCAAGGTCCCCCTAACACCACTTCTCCAGACAACCTTTCTAGACCAATCCAACAAGAACCGGCTGCTACAATAATTCCATTAGCTCCAGCTCCAGCACAGCCTGACCATCAGAAGCAACAAGCTCAGGATACGCCTAGCAGTCAGATACATCCTACCAAAAATAAAAAAAGCATTGTCTTGAGCTAGGCCTGGTGGTGCACACCTGTAATCCCAGCCGCTTGTGGATCAGGAGGATCGTGAGTTCAAAACCATCCTCAGCAACTAAGCAAGGCCCTGTCTCTAAATAAAGTATAAAAAGGGCTGGGGATGTGGCCAGTGGACAAGCGCCCCTGGGTCCAATCCCCTGTTCAAAAAAAAAAAAGAAAGCATTGTCTTTAAAAAGTAAGGAAAAGTGTTGCTCCATAGCACAATGCGACTTATGTAAGTTTAAAATAGATACAGATATAAATAAACACCATATATTTTTCTAAAATATGCCCAGCTCCAAGGATAAGCCAGTCAGAAACATATCAGAATGTACACTCAGGAGAGCAGGGGTGCAGACATGAGGACATTTGTGGGACTAGGGATTTTTTCAGAGAAAAAAAAAGACCTCTTTTTTTTAAACATACATTTTTTTAGTTGTAGTTGGACACAATACCTTTATTTTATTTACTTAATTATTTTTATGTGGTACTGAGGATCGAACCCAGCTCCTCACACGGGCTAGACAAACGCTGTACCGCTGAGCCACAATCACAGCCTGGGAAGACCTCTTATATTCAGTAATCAATAACAAAGACCAAAGTCTGATTTAACTCACAGGCCAAGGGCTATCGTCCCCCAAGTCCCAGCGTTAAAGGCTGGGTCCACCGTCCATGTGCTACTGGGAGGTGGTGTGGCCTTTAAGAGGGAGGGAGGCCTGGTGGGAGGATTAGGTCACAGGTGCACTCAAAGGGATAATGGTACCTCACCCCTTGCTCTCCTCTCATTTCCCCACCATGAGCTGGGCAGCTTTGCTCAACACAGGCTCCTGCTATGATGTGCTGCCTCACACAGACCCTAAACTAAAGGGCCAACTTGTGACAGAGACCTCCAAACTGCAAGCCAAAATAAACCTTTCTTCTTTATAAGTTGGTTGACTAAGGTATTTGGTTACAGTGACAGAAAACTAACACACCAAGGATATGAACAGTACACATAAAGACAAACAGCTTCAAACAAATGTGAGACTCACTAGAAAGAAATGCCCATTCAAACTACAGTGTGATGACATTTTTTTTTTATCCGTCACACTGGCAAGAAAAGAAGGTTGGTGATACAGTGAGTGGGTGGCACTGTGGGGAATCAGCACTCTCACTAGTATAGTCACGTGCATCTCTGGAAAGCAGACTGGCAACGTCCACCATGATCTAGATCACACATAACCTGCGTTTGTGTATGAACCACATTTATGAGTTCTCCTGCTGGGAACAGACACAGAAGTGAGAGAGGTGAGGTACACACAGGCTTAATGCATTTTGTCTATCATAGCAAACAATAAAAACAGGGAAAACAACTATAAATAAACCCACAGTGACTGGTTCCATAAACATGGTACATCCCTTCAAGGAGATATTTAACCCTTCCTGATAAAAGATGAACTCCATCTATGACTTGAAGATGAATTGTTCAGGATGATTTAGTTACTTGAGTATTAAATTCTACTATTTATGTCCCAGTACACAGCTCTTGAACATCTCCTGCCTCCAGAATCATGGGCTAAAAGAACATTTATTCTTTATAAATTACCAGCCTCAGGTATTTTGTTATAGCAACAGAAAACAGATGAAGACACCAACTGCCTCCAGACCACTTCTCCCCACCTTAACTAAACTGCAATGGAATCCCTGATCCAGGTGTCCCAGAGTGGACTCGGGGAGAGAAAGTGGTGGGAACAGGGCTGACCTCTAAGGCAAGCATGCGATGACAGCTGAGTTGCAACAGCAACCGGAAACTCAGCCCTGGGCGCCGGGCTGGACCTCACACTGGGGCAGAACAAAACAGAATCTAGGAGCTGACCTGGTGTGCACTTGATAGTGTTCCCTGTGTACCCATGTCCTCACTCTAGCCTGCGACTGCAGTCGTAAGAATAAGCCACACGGCCACAACTGCTTTATGAAGGGACCAACTGCCTTCATCAACTCTGTACCTCTCCAACAGCTGGGCCAGCAGAAGGAGCTCCACCTCGCTAGACTCTCTCTGTGGAGACTCCCGCAGCGTGAGCCTGAGGTTGGCTCTCGGACGTTAAAACCGCACAGTGGCTAAGAGCACTGGACAAAAACCACACCACCTGACGGTGAGTTCTGATTCTTCACTTACCTGCCTGCAAACCTTGGGCAACCTTCTTAGCATCTCTAGGTCCTTTTTCTCATCTGTGAAATGGGAGAGCAGAAGCATACACCTGCTGGGAGGATTGTTTGCTTTTTCTGCACATAAGGTGCTTAAAGGAGGACCTGGGTACAGCACGTGCTCAACAGGTATCCATTACTACGTGCTCTCCTGCTAGAAGTGTTTTATAGAAGGGCGATAAATTCTCCTAATTGGATCACATAATTAGCTTTAAGACAAAAGACTAGATCACTGGAATTGTCCCAGAAGACAAGCTCCAATTCTCAGGGCCTTTTTTTAAAAAAATATTTTTTAGTTATAGACGGACGCAATACCTTTATTTTACTTATTTATTTTTATGTAGTGCTGAGGATCGAACTCAGGGCCTCACACGTACTAGGCGACCGCTCTACCGCTGAGCCCCAGCCCCCGCCCCCCCCCCCCCCCCCCGCCCCCCCCCCCCCCCACCCCCCGCTCTGCTCCCCGGCCTTGGATCTGCATCCTGGTTCTCTCTGTGTAAACAGACTCTGCTGCCAGGAGGCATGCTGTCCACCTTGGTGACCACCTGCCCTGCTTGGTGTGAACTGCCAGGCCTCACTCTGAGCTCTGGGGGGAGCTTGTAACTCTCCCACATCTTGCTGGGATGCTTTGTGCACGGGCTGAGCTCTCTCAGATCCTGGGTCCTCCAGAGCCCACCTGCCTTTGCCTTCCTCCTCCAGACATGCAGCCTGCTCAAGCCTCCCTGTTCCCTGGGCTGCAGTCTTCTTCCCCCGGAGTCACATGGCTGAGTCCTGTCCTCATTCAGGTCTCTGGTCAATTTCACCTCCTCTGCTTGGCCGGTGTTGACCACCCTCTCTTGATCACTGCAGCCCATAACCTCCAAACTCTCACATTGTTTCTCCTGCATAGCACTCACCTAACATGGCGTAAAAATTATTGGTTGTTTTTGGGGTTTTTTTTGTCCATTTGTCCCCAACAGAAAATAAGGATCCAGGGGTATGGGGGAGGTGGGTATCTTGTTCACTAATGTTCCTTTAAAGCCTGGACTAGTACCTGGAACTTACAGACCAGCAATAAACATCTGTTGAATGAATGAAGAAATGAATGGCCAAGGACACTGCAGAACATGTCCTCAAGATCTCCACCTCAGGCTGCAGCCTCCCAACAGGACACACTCGAGGACATTCTGTCCTGTGCCTCCAGATCCTAAGGGCCTGAGGACAGTCCCACTCCCCCCCCCCCCCTCATCTAGAAAGTCGGCTTGCTGCCCTTTCTTGCTCTGGAC